TTCTCCGCGAGTACGCTCGAGTTCAATGTCCAGCTCTCTGGACTCGGCGCCAACGATTCTAATTGGCCACAAAAACAGCGTGAGCGGGCCAAACTGACCAGTGCGGGTGTTGCGTTCGTGCAGTGCAACACCCGCATTGGCTACAAGGGTTTTGCGCTCGTTCATTGGTAGAAATTCGAGCTTATGGGCACGTTTACAAGGTACCACAGAGGTATACAAAAACCAGCATGAAAACAAGAGCTGAATGCCATCTTGCACAATTGCCGCGCGCACAGCACCGCTTGCAGAGGACCGCTTGCACAAGATCGCCACGTCATATCGAACTTCCTCCTTCTTCTCTTCTCTTTCTTCGATTTAACAGGCACACGTGTGTTATAGTCCCACCACTTAAGGGGTAGTCGCCATTCTTTTTGGGTATTTTCTGTCTTTTTGCGTCCAATATTTGCTTTTCAAAAGTTGGTCCTCCTTTCACATTGCATTTGATCGCTTCTCAAATCCTCGACGACCTATACACGCCAATCCAGCCGTACGCTGGCCAATTTTTCTCTCCATAAAACATGTTTCCCACTAGCCCACTCTGCAGGACCCTAGTCTTTCTCGACGGTGGAACATTCACGTGAGTTCCGTATCCAAGCACATACGAGCGCCAACCTCCTGACGACTTGGTGCTGCTTGTAGCTCGCCACTGGTGTAATGCATCGACAAGTTGGTGCGAGACCAGCCAAGGCGATGACTCCAACAGCCACAACCTTGTCACGCATGCTTGCCACATCTGTTGGACCGGAGACGGGCATACCAAAGACGCCGTGTTATCGCAGCAAAAGCTGGTGAAAAAAGGTCTCAGGGGCAAACTCACTCAAATCGTCGTCGTCGTGCTGGGACTGGAACGCCGCGCCGACGGGTGGGAGGTCGACGTCATGGACCAACAACGTGCATATCCCTTGCGCTGCAGCCACGGCCACGATCCCCTCGACGTCGTATGCGGTCCACGCGTCATTGTACACATTGATGTCGACTGCGAGCAGCGGGCTGGCTTGCTTGGCATGCAGTAGACGCCCCACGTGATCCAGTGTCATTCCTGCGTACGACAGATCGAGCCATTCGAGGCTCGGCAGCCCTTGGCGCACGCACGCGGCCCATGCCAAGACACCCGCGATCTGAAGCCGATTACAGAGCAAATAGAGCTTCTGGAGGTACCAGCAGTGCGGCAAAACGCTGGCCAGCAGCAGCATCCCGTCGTCTCCGATCGCGTTGTTGCTGAGGTTGAGTTCGCGAAGACTTGACCAGTGGGGCAGCGCCCGTGCCAGTAAGCCCGCGCCGTCGTCGCCGAGGTGGTTGTCGGCCAAGTGAAGCGCCGTAATCGGTGTCTGCTGGAGCGCCTCGAGGATGTCGTGAAGGCCGTACGCGTGCAAGTTCGTCTGGCTCAAGTTCAGGTGCGCGAGGTGCGCATACTGCTGCAATGTCGCCTTGAAAAACATCGAGAGCGTTTCGATGCGCGCGATCTGGAGGTGCGCGAGGCACTTGTGCGCGCCGCCTCGCGCGCTTGCTGCTGAAGCAAAGGACGCGGGATGGCGGTGGAATTGCCCGCCATGGCTCGACCTCGTCGACCGAAGTATGCAGATATACCGCGGGCAGTGGGCCAGCACCTGGTCGACAAACCGTTCGCAGTGGTCGGCTTCGAGAACCGCGAGGCTGCGGCACGCGTCGGTTGCAGCGAACCAATCATTGTAGAGAATTTCCGACGCGAACTCGAGACGCACGAGCTTGAAGAACGCGATCGGATGATGGGCAAAAATCGCGCCGAGGCTCATGACCGACGCGGGCGGCAAGCGCTTGACGTGCGCGGGCTGCCGTTGGCGCAAGTGCCACTCGTGCTCGTCGCCTTCAATCTCAAGGTGCGTAATGCGTTCGCATGCTAGCACGATGTGCAGCCAGCCCAGCAGCGTCGCCGGCCCGCCGTGCCACACGATGCGGACGCGGCGCAGCGTTCGACTGGCCAGCATGAGCTGCCCGACGCGGTCCAGCTGTCGCTGGCCAATGTCGCCAACCGTGATTTCACACAGGCGCGTGAAGGACACGAGCGAGAGAATCCGGGCGGGCACGCGATCGAGCAGCGCCCACGAGACGAGACCGGACGACGAGGCCAAGCAGCGCTCCAGCACGTCGATCGAGGTCGCAGCGTCGGGCACCCGCAGCTTCCCAACGAGCTGCCACGCGCGCTGAACGTGCTCCGTGCTCTCGGTGGCGATCGCTGGCAGATCCAATATGGGCCACAGCCGGCGACGGGGTACACGGCGGGCGAGCTCCGCAAGGCTCTGCATCGGTGGGCTGCAGAGCGCGCGGGGCAGTGCCGAAAGGAGTGCGAAGGCCGTCGACGTGTCAGCTATGAACTGAAGGATGAGGTGCATGACGTCGGCCGGCGGCGACATGGACGGACGAGGTGACGGGCGGCGCTCCGACATGCGATCGGCTTGTAATCTACCGTTATAGCAGAATCAGTGATGATGTGACTTTTGCCCAATCACAGTGCGTGGCGCCATTTCCAAGATGTTTCTGTGACCGATCGCAGGAGGCTATGTGACCGTCACATGGGCTGCTGCTGCTGGGTAAGTGGGCTGGATGAGCTGCTGGGTCGAGCTCAAAAAGCTGTCGCCCGACGTCAAGAGTGCGGGGGCGTACGACATGCGACTCGCGGGGCAAAAACAACATACCGATTAATCGAAGCCGGGGCACACGGGGTACAGCCCGCGCATCCACCGCTTCCAGGGACTGCCCCCTTGCCCGACGCCGTCACGGCGCACGCGCGTCCAAGATCTTGAGCTTGAGGTGCGCCTCTTTGAAACGGGCGCGCTGCATCATGACAATTACCCAGAAACTCGCTATGCGATCGTCTTTTGGCCCAAGAGCACGCGTCTGGAGTGCGCGAGCGTCGCCGACGGCGTCAACGCACTGTTGCATGCGGCTTAGCAGGCGTGGCCGTCGCCCGACACACTGCTGGGCCAACCGTCGGTCGCCGACGTTCTCTTGATTCGGTTGGGTCGCTCTGTGTCGCGCATCCCTACGTTGGCTCACCACTTGCCTTCCGAACCGCCGTGATGACCTCATTCCTTGGCCCTCTTCCGTCGCGGCGCGAGCTCGCTCTCAAGGGCATGTTGAGCCCGCTGGACGGCATGCCGCCGAGCTTTGCGCTCTGGCAGCGCCAACCACGTCGACAAGGACGTGTACATATATGGTTCCATTCTCCACGCTTCCCTTCACGGCGGCCTTGACGCCATCGACCACTTCGTCGACACGATTGCAATCGCATCGCTCTTGGCGATTGCGGCGACCGACCAAAAACTGGTCGTCGTGCTGAACCATATACCGTTCTGCACAGCTTTGGCCGCACTTGGTCTCGGAGAATGTAGTTTGCCACAGCCCTCGCGCGCTGCCGCGTACGGCCACCAACAACACCGCCGTCGTGCGTATCTTCAACGGCACTGGCCACATGCGCCAGTCGCCGGTGCAGAACGCTGCGCTCTCGTACTTTGCGACCGATGATCGCGGCAACCTCCAAGCTTTTACCCCGAAATGGCTTGACACCGTTGAGTCTCGTTCGAATGGCAACGTTGGGATCAAGCTGCACGTCGCGATGCCGGCCCAAACAAATGGATTACAAGCACGTGTATTTGGATGCAGTCGCTCATGACAACGCGAGACTCACCGACTACGCGCTGCTAGACGTATTGCTGCGATTCGTGCACCGCCTTTGAAGCGTATCTGCGCGCCCCGCTACGCATTACCTTCAACTTTGGCGACTGGCGACCAGGTTCTCAACATCATTCGGTCGAACCCGCTGCAACTCGAGCTTCAAAATACGGCGTCGCCACCCCACGACGACAGCTTTGGTGCGAGCACGCCCCGTTCGACCAAGTCGCGTGCTTCTATGTGCGAAAAGTGCGCCAGCCAGGACAAGCCATGCCAGCTGTGCTGTGCATGCACGCGGCGCGCGACCACTGGACGGCAAAAACGGAGCGCATCTCGACCATCGTAGAGGCTGGAGGCCGAGAACCAAAAGTCCCACTGATGGTATGTGAATATACTGCACAATTACGGGGTCTCGAGAGCTGCTGCTGGGCTTCTGTCCTGCAAGCGTTGATAGAGGCAGGACCTTGTAGAGCTAGGGTGCGCCTGGCAAGTCCTACGCAGGCTCTCTGGCCCTGTACTAAAGACCACACATGTGGACATGCTACACGCCAAGCGACACCACGTCAGTATTTGGTTGGAAACGGGGGCCGTAATAGGCGCATTCAACGGTCCGCGCCCTGTCGACAGAGTGGAGAGGGCACGCACTCCAACAGGCCCGACCTTTGCCGCCGTAAGGCGCGCAGACAACCGCGCTGGCGACACTTGAAACGCCCACCCCTGATTCGTTTCGCCCACGAGTCTCACGGCGCATGTCTGAACGACGTCTTGCTTCCCATCGCTTCCGTCGTGGTCTAGCGTGCGATGCGCTCGCCCGAGTTGGCGGCTTCCTACATCGTCGATCGCTGTGTCAGCCTCGCTCTCTGCGAGTCACTCATGTGTCTTGTCGAGCCTCGAGAAGGAGAAATCTCGCGCAAAGCGACCACATTGGCTCGGCCATGACGTGGCAGTGGGGCTGGGCAGGATGCATCAACAACCAAGATCCCAAGTTCAATCTGCGCGCGTGACGATCGCGCCTCACGCGTGGCAATGTCACGTAATTTTAGCCAATCAAAAACCAGGTTCGAAAATCCTCGGCCGGGAGCGTATTTTTGGATTCGTCAACAAGCCGCAGGATGAGCAGCTATCCGAACGGCGTCCGCGAGTGCTGGGGCGACTACCGCAACGAAGAGGACCTTGAGATCCCGACGCAGGCGCTGTACCAGCACCAGAAGAAGCTGCCGAACCTGCCCGTGCCCACGCTCGAGGCCACATGCGCGCTCTACCTGCAGACGGTCCGCCCGCTCGCGACCGACGCCGAATTTGCCGAGACCAAGAAGGCCGTCCAGGCCTTCCTCGATGGCCCGCTCGGACCGACGCTGCAGCAGCGCCTCCTCGAGCGCGCGGCCTCGCGGCCCAACACGTCGTACCTTGCCGAATGGTGGAACACGCTCGGCTACCTCGAAGTCCGCGACCCGGTCGTCTTTTATGTGAGCTACTTTTTCCACTTTAGCGACGCAGCGCATGCGCTGCAGCGGTCGCAGGTCGGCCGCGCCGCGAGCCTCCTCGTCGCCACCATGGCATTCCGCAACCAAGTCGCGTCGGGTACGCGGCCGCCCGAGGTGCTCGGCCGTGGCAAGACGCCGCTCTGCGCGACCGCGTACAAGTACATGTTTAACGCGTGCCGCATTCCGCACCGCAGCGCGGACTCGTACCGTATTTACGACCCGAGCTTGCACCACCACATTGTGGTCTTGCGCAACAACAAGTACTTCAAGGTGCAGCAGTCGGCGACGCCGCTCACGTTCCTCGAATGGACCACCGTCCTCGACAAGATTATCGCGATCGCTGGCGGCAAGGAGTCGGCGATCGGCGTGCTCTCGTCGCAAGACCGCGACGTGTGGGCCGATGGCCGCGACCAGCTCCTCGTCGATGGCAACGAAGCGTCACTCAAGGACATCGAGTCGGCGGTCGTCGTGCTCTGCCTCGACGACGAGACGCCCGTCTCGCGCACCGAAGTCGCGCGCGGCCTTTGGCACGGCAACGGCCGCAACCGCTTCTACGACAAGACGATCCAGCTCGTCGTGTACGAGAATGGCAAGGCCGGGATTCTCGCCGAACACTCGATGCTGGACGGGATGGCCATGAGCGTGTACGCAGACTTTATGCTCACCGGTCTCCGCAACGGCTCGATCGACCTCGGCGATCTGACGACGCCCCATGACGCGCTCCACTTGCCTGCGATCACGCAGCTGCCGTTCAACATTACGCGTGCGACGCTGCGCAACATTGCGTTGGCCGAGCACAGCTTCGACCTGCTTGTCGCGGACCACGAAGTGCACGTCGAGTCCTTCTACGGTTATGGCAACGCCCTCATGAAGACGTTCAAGTGCAGCCCGGACGCCTATGTGCAAATGGCGATTCAGCTCGCGGTAGGCGCTTGTGTTGCACATTCGATGCGACGCATGGACTTGGCGTAGGCGCGCAAGTACTGGGGCAAGGACGTTGGCACGTACGAAGCGTCGCAGGTGCGCCCGTACCTCCACGGCCGCACCGAAACGACGCGCAGCTGCTCGATCGCGAGCAAGGCGTTTGTCGATGCAATGGTCTCTTCGGGCCCGCTCGAGCGCGTCAGCGACAAGGTATGTCATGCTGACATGCCAATGCGCGTGACATGCTTCGTAGGCCAATGCCTGCCGCAACGCGTGTGCCTCGCACGTGCAGTACATGAAGCTCGCGGCGCAGTCCAAGGGCGTCGACCGTCACTTTCTCGGGCTGCGCTTGCTTCTGCAGCCGGGCGAGTCGGCGGCGATCTTTGAGGACCCGCTCTTCGCGCGCTCCAAGTACTGGCAGATCTCGACGAGCCACTTGACGCACGAGCTCTTTGACGGCTGGGGCTGGGGCGAGGTGGTCGCCGACGGCGTCGGCATTGCCTACAGCATCAAGAAGAACTCGGTGCACTTTAACATTGCGTGCCGCAAGACGATTCCGCTCTCGATGTCGCGCGCGTTTGGCCATTTGCTCGAAGAAAGCCTCCTCGAGATGCGCCATGTCTTTGAAGCGGAGATGCCGCCGCAGGCCAAGCTCTAAGCTGATAGGACTCTAATACCATTGCATGGAGTTTGTGTGCACCGACAGTCCAAATCGTCAGGTGCGAGTGCCCGAGCCGTGTAATGGGGCCCATACCCACCCCCACACATGGGCCATGGGTCGGGGTGGGTCGCATTTTGATTGATGGGTGGGTCAGGCGACGACTGACGCCCTTGAATTTCTGATATGCCATCACACGAGGCGGCGAAGCAAAAGGTTGCAAGCACAAGAACGAGGGTGACGACAAGCTGATGCGATTCAATGCCGTCGACAAGCTGATGCGTTGCGAGGCTGACGACTGCAGTCGACAGAGCAATTTCGTTTATGGGCCATGGGTGGGCCGAAGCGCAAACTTAAAGAGCATGGGTGGGCGTGGGAGGGGCAAAGGAATGAAATGAGAGAGACCCTGAGAGGACCCATGGGCTTGGCGATTTTCGACTTGAAAGCAAATGCAATGTTGTTGTTGAAGTGGGTCGTCGTCTATTACAATAGATAAAATTATGCTAAATAAAATTGTCGACTTCGCTGTGTGCACTCGGTTGAGGAACTTGATTTAGGCACGAGCGCGATCCGCGGGACGAGGTGGTGTCGCGGCCACTCGTGTTGGGCGAGGCGCCGTAAACCCGACGAAGAGCAGGCTGCTCGGGCTCTTGTGCGAGGCTGTGACTTGGCAGCGGTAGGTCGGCGCGAAAGACGCGATCGCTCCGGACTCGCCAGACGTTGAACCAGACGCAGGCGCGGACCACGGGATAGAGGTAGCGGAGCGCCGCTTGGTGCATGTTGGACGCCGTCTTGGGCGTCGAGTAGAAGTAGCCTGAGAGATTTGTCGGCAAGGTCACGCCCAGAGGGGTCGTGACGGCGTAAAGCGTGCTCCACACGTCCTTGATGAAGTCGCAGTCGACGAGCAAGTGGCGGTACATCTCGTGCTCGGGGCAGAAGAGGCACGCTTGGTTGGAAGCGAATGCAATGTGAAAGGTGGGACAACCTTAGAAAAACAAAACGTGCGGAATTTCACCTACCACCTAATTGGTACTCCCCGAATGAATTTCACCGGTGTCGGCAATGTCGCACTGGTTTTCGCACTCGCATCGCTCGATGATGGCATCGAATATCGACTCAGCTCTCAAAAATGCTATGCCATGAGGGTTTTAAACCATGTCGCGGCCCCTGCGTCTTTCAAGCCCAGTTCCAAAGGTAAGTAAAGAGTCCAAATGCGTCGACAATTCAATCCTGAACGAATGCGATAACAAGACAACCGTCCCAAAGAGTCAACTCAAATTCGCATCAAGATGAATCGATGGTAAACAAAGTTTACAGGAAAGACTTGCGAGACGCGCGACAACGTTTCCGCAGACACGGAGACGATCCAACAACGACCAGCGGCAAGTCTAGTTGGTTTCGGTGCGGAGGTTGGACGTGGCGAGGTACGGCGCGATAAAGCTTTGCCGGACGAGAGGCGCGCGTAGACACCGGGCTTGTTGGCCTGCGCACAGCTAGGCGCGCCCCAGCTGACGACGCCGATCTGGACCTCCTTGCCGTCCTTGAAGACCGTAAGCGGACCACCCGAGTCGCCCTGGCACGCGTCCTCGCCCGCCACACCGCCCGCACAGATCATGGACTCGTGAATGTCGTCGAGGGTCTTGGCGCACTCGTCGTTGGCCCACACCTTGACTTCGACCTCAAGCAGTGCATAAGACCGCGAGCCGCCGGAGCGGGTGTTCCCCCAGCCGCGGACCTTGGCGGCGACGCCCGGCGCGTTGGAATCGTCGTCGTCAAAGCTGAGCGTCACGGGCGTCTCCTTGCTCTCGTGCTCGAGCTCGAGGATGCCAAAGTCGTAGTGCTCTTCGCGTCTAGTCCACTGCGGGTGCGCGATGGCCTTGACGACACGGATGCGCTCGCCGTC